TCTTCTTCTGAACTGCTTCCTGGAACTCGGATATTCTCCTCTATTGGCAAACAACTAACAATTAACTTGAAACAATATTGGAATATATACTCGAACTTTGTGCTGCTCGGTAACGTTAAACTGTGCGTAATATGGAAGCATATGCATCCGAAAATTCTACAAAGCCATTATTCTCTAAAGAAAGTCTACTTGTGCTGCTTTATTTATTCGTTTTTTTTTAACATGAAGAGACTTTCTCTAAATTTAAAACTTAAGTTTAACTTATACGCCCGATTTCCACTTTTCTAAAAAGTCGGTATTTGCAAAAAACGTAATATTACTTGATAAACTGCAGTATGCCTTCGTTTTGAGAACCATCGTTCTTTTACTACTGTAGGGCTTTGGGGGACGCAATGTGAGTTCCGTTTGCGTAAGAGATTTTCTTGGAAAAATCTCTGGATTTTATGAGTTAGAACACTTACTGTAAACCTCGCTACGTTGGTCAGAAAAAAACAGTACGAAGAATACGCGTCTGTGGCCCCTAGGACGCAGGTTGGAGCCTATAATTTGGCAGTTACCAAGCTATTATAAGTCAGACAAACTACAGGAGAGGTTAAGCAACAAGAATAGTTAGACGGAAGTGACAATCTCAGATTTATTCGTTATCACCAACTAGTCCTACGCGGAATCAGGTAAGAAAAACTCATTGAAAAATATTTAGTGGGCCGATTCGAAAAGTTAAATTTAATCCACTGATATCTGAGGCACGGTCCAATTATCGGTTGGCCTCCTTCTGTTAGCGGGATCTCTATGTCTCAAGCAAGAACTTGCTTACCCGTATCGGTTGTTCCGACCTAACGGATATCCGATCAATTTTGTGGGGAACTGCCTCAGGCGTCAGGCACAATCGCAAGCCCCCAACCATAACGAAGAAATAACGACAGGGAAGTTCTGCTCCCTGCCTTATATACATGGAGCTTCCGAAGTAATCGCCAGGCAGTTCAATGGCCTCGATATCCACATGGGGCACAAACCAGCATCGTCATTACGCGCAGCGCTATAACGTCTTAAGGAGTCTACCCCGAAAGAACAACAATCAAATGTGGTTTATCGCATACCGTGCGCAGATTGCTCTCGCGTGTATGTTGGTCACACAGGCCGACTCCTGGACACCCATAAATTAAATTAGCTGTCCGTCGACCATAGATGACACTGGAAGCGTTGCCATGCCCAACACAAAACAAGCGCAAGGCTTGGTTTTCTACTGCGGGCAGTGCCAACGGCCGCGTTGGCTGGAACGACTCATACGGTGGCTTAAGGTAAAGACTTATCGTCCCCA